TCTTTCAAAAATCATAATATTGTCACCTAGATAATTAGGAAATGCAATCTTAAGGATGACATGTCAATTTATATAAGGCACAAGCACACTAAAATGTATAGAATGCGATACAAAAAAGAGGAAGGCATACAGGATAGTAACATTCTGATGTCAAAATTAATAATCAAAATATATAATAAAATAATCAAAATATTAAATATTTCGCTACAATATTAAGAAACAAAATTGTTATGAATGTAGATAGCAGCAACGACAAAGATTCGAGGCTTTGCTGCATTGAATGTTATATGACGAAATAGTAACATTCTAAAGATGGAAGCCTTGTTTGCACATGCACAAAATAACAACCTCTACCATATTTTTAAATATGAGTAATTAAAAATAAAACCTATTTAAATTCACTCAAGCATGGAAGTTCAGTATAACGTCACAGTAAAACTTTCATTTTTCTAAGTGCAATTAAAAATGCAAACATTTACTGTTTGCGATTCGTAATTTATTAATTTAGAATTTTGATGCCAACAGGCAACAACATTCTTAGCACTTGCTCTTATCAACTTTAAGAATAATTTTTCTTAAAGTTGATAAGAGCAAGTGCTAAAATGCTGAAAATGCAACAATTATAATTGTTGCATTTTTTATTCATATGTTTTTTTTTCAAGATTAAATATTTTTTTCTCTATTATGTCATAAAGAGTCTTTGGACAAACGACTTCTTTTCTCTATAACAGAAAATTATTTAAAATCCACGGAAGGTGCTTGAGAAGGTGTGTAAAGTACATTTTATTAATGGCATGGAAGTTGTCTACAGAAGACTACGAAAAGATGATCAAGTGCAAAGCCGCCATCGCAGAGGAATACGAGAAGCCTCTGGTGGTGGACGAGGTTGAAGTGGCCCCTCCTGCCAAGGGAGAAGTCCGTATCAAGGTAAATGTCTCTATGAATTAATGTCATCAGGATCTGAGGTGTGCAGTGCTGTCCTCAGGTCCAAGCCTCCGGCCTCTGCCACAGCGACCTGTTCTGTACCAGCGGAGAGGGCCGCGCGTTCTTCACCGTGCCGCAGATCCCGGGCCACGAGGCGGTTGGGGTGGTGGAGAGCGTTGGGCCCGGAGTCACCTATGTTAAACCTGGCGAGTCTACTTTATTCCTTCCTTTCCTTTCTTTGATTTAGAAAGACTTCAGCCCAACCGAAAGCAGAGGGCATAGAGAGGTATATAGAGATCATAGCTAGGTATTCCTTTCTACTCAGCGAACTATTTGTAAATGAAAGAACAGAGACAAGCATAACTACCCTGTACTTATGTGGTTTTATTTTATTTTTTTTTTGTTATCACCAATGCTCTTTATAAAAAAACTGAGGGCTGGAAGTTTATATTTTGAACATAATGATTTTAACGGTCAACGTTATTTTTCTGTTAATAATCAAATTGGAAAAAAAAAAATTATAACATTTATATTAGGATGTATTTCAAAAATTGAAATCAGGTAGGAATAAGGGACACTATATACAACAACCAGATACAACGAGAAAAAAATACATGCATAAAGGGTTTGGTTCTTATCAGTGAGAATCAAATTCGGTTGCAAAAATAAAATCAAGAAGTATATATGCATGAATCAGGTTTTCGATTCCGAAAATTGGTTAAGAAGATAGCACTCTGAATTAGAAAAATTGATTAGCCTATATTTGGAAAATTATAAGAGAACTATTGAGAAAAGCCAAAAACACCGCTAGTTTTAGGGGGCAATTTTTACCTCCACATCCCCCATTATGACGTTATTCTAATCATAAGGTTATGGTTTAAAATTTATACAATATCGACTTTTTTTTTTTTTTTTTTGGTGAAATAATATTAATGGAAAAATGATTCAATAGACATGAAATAATTAGAAAATGCCAAATTAGCAGAATCTAGGTTCATCAGGAACGAACCCTTCGAACAATGCATGCCCGCTTGTAGGAGCAGTTTTAAATTATGAAACTAGCATTACGAAAAGTTTCTATTCAAATAAATTAACAGAAACACATTGGAAAAATATACTTATATTTGATCGATGGTGATTTAACATACACACAATACTATATTCTCTGAATATATTTTTTGAAACCAATTCAATGCTTATTTATATTGTATTCAATTATGTATTTTCTCTTATATACCCGCATTAACATCTCTATTTTTCTTTTGATACTTCTATATTCTCATTGGGTCCCAAAACCTCTTCATGCTCTCTAGGCTTCCTCTGTTTTTATTGTGAAGGTTTTTTTTTTAGTTTGTTTAATTATCATAAAATTATATTTATATATGGATGACATATGTATATTATTTTACAACCTAATCTGTATCACCTCAAAATGTTCAATGAGACGACGTTGTAACGTAATGCTCATAGCAATCACCGTTCACACCCATCTAGAAAGTATTTAAAATGCAAATTCTTAGCAAATGCTAAATTCCGCTCTGCTGTCGGACCTCTTCCTGGATCGACAACATCCTTCCAAGTGGCCACCAGCCAGGACCCCATCTCTGCTCCACAAATGGGCATACCTCTGTGCTCATGGTAACAATATTTAAAGCCGAACTTGGTCCTCTCATAATATTATAAATATTTAGAAGCTAGAATACTAACGAATGGAAGCTGTCTGTGCAGGTGACACGGTGATCCCCAACCTGGTGCCTCAGTGCGGATCCTGTAAGATGTGCAAGAATCCTAAAACCAACTTGTGCGAGTTTATGATGTAAGTCTTAATTTACGTATGTAACATTGGGTCGATGGTCAGTTTAAAAACCTTTCCTTCTTTTGTCTTCATACATGTGTTGTCATGAAAATAAAAATATGTTTAAAAGTTGGGAAATACGTTGCGTGTGTTTTGTTTTAAGCCTAAATATAATATTATAAATGGTATCGTAAATATTGAGGCTGCCTGGCCGGCATTCATATTTCTTGAAAATAAAAATACTTCGGCCAGTAAATCTTTTTAATAGCTCGACGTTTCGACAAAAATCTTTTGTCCTCGTCAGGAGCAAACAAAAATTAAGCATTTAGCAAGGCGTTAAAAATCTTTCTAAAGTTCCTAGGGCGTTCTCACGCGATATTTAAAAATTTTGTACAACATCTAAAGCACGAGTCAAAAATAAATATTTAACTCACAAAAGACTATGATCTTTGAAATAAATTATAATATTCATGTATATAATGAGAAATTATAAACAAAAATAAATATTAAAAAAATAATAATATTTACAAAGATTTCCCAATAGTATATATAAATCGATATCTATTAGTTACAATTTATACCAACCCTTTTAAACTACTTTTTAAATTTAAAAACGAATTGTATTGTAGTGGAATATCTACAAATATATTAATACTTCTTGCCCCCATATCCCGTGATACCCATCCCTCTAAAAATAATCTTTCCTTTTTAAATTTTATATTCCTATGAAATATCTCAATATTATTCCAATTTGGCCTATGTCCTGAATATAATGCATGTTCCCCAATTTTGCTTAATGCCCTTCTCCCCAATAAACCCTGTTGCTGTTCTATAAGTTTGGTCTGTGCATTTAATCCCATAAATTACATTACTTGGTTTTGATTTCCCTATCTTATCCTTCATTATGCTATTTCTAGTTATAAATTCCCTTTTTGTCCTCGTACTATGCCATATATTATATTTAAATTTTCTTAATATTCTAGATATTTCGTTATCTATATCTCTAAAATATGCAATAATTATATTATTGCAATCATCTTTATTCCTATTTGAATTTGGTCTATCTATTTCATATCTTCTGATCCATTTGTTTGTGAAACTTACTGGATGATCAGATTGTTCTAATTCTGCTCTAATTTTCATTATATCTTTTTTTATAAATATCTTGGTCTGTACATACCTGTTTGGCTCTTTGTACAAGAGATTTTATCACATTTAAGTATCATAGGATAATTGGATTTAAAATTTAGATGTATCCTACAGTCTGTTGGCTTTCTGAAAACGCTGGTTAAAATAGAACCATTTTCTTTGCGAGTTAGTCCTACATCTAAGAATGATAAAAACCCTCTCTTTCTGTTTCAACAGTGAATTATATTCCTCTTTCTAAATTATTCAACATGACCATGATTCCATCAATATTTTCTTTGCGGATCACTGAGAAAACATCATCTATTACTTCTTGCCCCCATTTCCCGTGATACCCATCACTCTAAAAAAAATAAATATCGCGTGAGAACGCCCTTGGAACTTTAGAAAGATTTTTAACGCCTTGCTAAATGTTTAATTTCTGTTTGCTCCTACGAGGACAAAATATTTTTTTCGAAACGTCGAGGTAATAAAAATATTTACTGGCCGAAGTATCTTTATTTTCAAGAAATATAAATGGTGTGTATTTTTATGTATGTACATCATATATGTATATAGAGAGAGGAAAAAGAAAAAAAATACATCTCCTATTATATAACTATCTTTGAAATATATCACAGCCTGAAACAAACGATGACGTTGAATAAAAACAGAATTATGGATAAACCTCAATATGGCTTAGGATTAGTTAGATACGTTCGTAGAAAGGGCATTCCTCTATCTATCTACGAAATCTATCTATATCGTAGTTCTATAGAAGTAAAATTTGACCAGACAGATGTTTGTACGGAGCGAAAATTCCTCTAGCAGTTAGTGTTGATTGTTCAAAAGAACCCACAGATTATAAAGGAGATGTGTTTATTTATTGTAACTGGACAAGAGATCTTTCGACCAAAAGATCATCGACGAGTCCAAAATGCTCGATGATATGAATCTTGCATTTTATTTTTAATCCGTTTTTGATATTTAGATAGAGAGCTCTTGCCGAATTACAATAAATAAATAATAAAATAGTTTTTAAACCTTATTCGCTAACATTTCAATATTTGTTACTCATAAATATTTTACTACGTTTGAAAACAATATTTTACGTCAAGATAAATTGAAATATTTATCTCCGCGCGTAATGAAAAAATGAAGATGCTGGGTATCGATCCCAGTACCTCTCGCAGGCAAAGAGAGAGCTCTACCATCTGAGTTACATCCCCTGCGTTACGGTCTTTCCAAACTGGTAATTAAAACAGAGAATATGGGTTGAGGTTTGGTATGTTCCAAGATTCTCTGCTTGTTAGGTCACGTGAGATGGAATTAATTTAATGGGGAATGCCTACGCTATTTCCCTAATTTCGTTTCGTCATTATATTTATTTTTAAAAAACATGCAAATTGGTTTTCAGCTTTATTTTATATGTATATATGATTTGAATTACTCAAAGATGAATCATACCGTTATCTCTATCGAAGAAAAATAAATAAATATCTAACTGACAAATCTAATCTCTAATCCACCTTTTCCTGATATATAAGAAAGTCATCTACGTACATGTGTTTCGAGTTATTGACCTTCATCCACCTATAGGAACCGAATTCCCTGTTAAATATAAATTTCCGGCTAGTTCTACAGATTTCGATCATGTCCACTATATTTTGCACAATTTAATCAATTTTGAGTTTTCCTAAAATTTTAACTCGATGATATGAAACATTTAAAATTCATAAAATATTCCTCTACCATAAATATATATTTATAAATTAATTAAACTCTCTCTCTCTCTAAAAAAATCCACATCAACCTTGTTTTTGTTGTTATTTAGACTTTTTGCAACCATGCTTCACCTTTCCCCCACTTTTTATCATATAAAAAAAAAAATCTATTATATCATTTATGCAAAATCGTTGCCGCAATGTATATAAGATTATATTTGTATCAGCGTTCCTGGTAATTTACATTAGCTGAAGAACCGGAAGCTTGTAAAACAATTTACATTTAAAGAAACTTTTCGCCTTCGCATTTTTCTTCGTGAAATATCTTATCGGCAATTATTTTTTTCCAACCTTCTGTTGGATTGAAAAATATCGATACACGAAATTCACTTTTTTTTTTGCAATCGAATTTGAAAAGTTTTTCTTATTAACTCATAAAATCAAAATATATAACATTGGAAAAAAATAAATATTATATTTCCATCAAAATAGACGCAAAATTTTACGCCATCTATTTTCTGCCTCTGAGAACTAGACGATTCGGGTTAAGGCATTGTTTTAAATCATATCCTTCCTGCAAATGTTATCTCTATCTATTTCTATTTATCTCTGTTCATATTTTTATAAGAAAATTTGAATATAATACTTGTAGATCAAATATAATTTTTGTACAATATAATGTTCATCTCCCATAACCCTAACACCATGCGTGCAATGTGCAATAAATATTTTATATGAAATATTTAATCCTCTGATATCATGTGTGTTATGTTTTGGTTACTCCAATGACAAAGGCCCGTAGTTATGTTAAAAAGGGGAGAAAACCTATTTTATTTTTAAAATAAAAAGTTCACACGTGGTTATGCCTAGTCACATCTGGCGAAGGAGATAGCCTTTTCTTATCTTCTTTGTTTACCGCCTCAGCGCCGCGGTTGCGTCACATCCAGTGACGCCACGATACCACATCTTCACCCTTTCCTGAAACACTCCGTAGTCGCGAAGCGATGTTAGGAGGCGGGTTGGAATCCTGCTGGCTGGCGTGGTCATCCAAAACTAGGACGGGATGTACTCGCAGCTCATGCCGGGTGTCAAGACGGGTGTAGGTCCCGGCACACTCTGGTGCAGTCTCAGTCTGCGGGCATTCCAAACCTTACCATCTGATAGCACAAATATGAAGAGATGCCGTTTCTTAGTTATGGTGAATGGCACCCTAAACTTGGAACGTCCTTTCATGACGGGATCATCAGATTAGATTTTCACTGGGTCTCCCACTTATAGTTTAGGGTCCCAGCTTTTGCTTTCACTGGCGCTCTTGTCTTCCTGGCAGAAGCTTCCTCGGGTGTTTTGTTCCAACTTCCTTATCGAACACGTGCGCCAAAGTTCTCAAAGTTCTTCCGTGGAGCAGTGCTGAAGGTGTCTGCTTCGTAACGGTGTGTGGTGTAGATCTGTATTCTCTCGGAAACAGTTAAATCGTTCTTTGAATCTCTGTATGCTGTAGGTGAACTGTCAGGATCGTTGAATTCAGAGTTCTATTAATGTTTCCACTTCTCCTTTGCAAGCTGGGTGATAATTAGTTGTTCGTAAATGCTCACAAGGAAGTTCTCAAAATCTTCGGAAATAAAGGGTGTTCCATTGTCGGTAACAATCTCATGTGAGAAGCCCTTTCTAGAGAACACATCTTCCGAAAAGTCTATTTTCAGTTTAGGAGTAGTCTTGTTCGAACAGAAGACTTCTGGCCATTTAGATGTTTAACGAATAAGAGAGGCCCGTAGTTATGTTAAATAGGGGAGGAAACTTATTTTATTTGTTAAAATAACAGAGTTTACACGTGGTTATGCCTAACTACATCTGGCGAGGGAGATAGCCTTTTCTTATCCGAATCTGAATCCAATCTCGGCATCAATGAAGGATCCAACTATGTCTAAGCCAATTTTAGTCCAGGGCTTTAACGGCGTTTCAATAGGAGTTAAGGGAACTCAAATAGACTTTAGTCTCTTGCTATGGTTCTTACATACCCAGCAATTGATTACTAAGTCTTCCACATCTTTATTCATCCCGGGCCCCTTTAACCTTTGTTTAGTTCTGACAATTCCTTGATGAGCTTTATGAACAAAGTAATTTATTTCGGAGAGATACTGGTACCCCTGTACTGAAATATTCTTTTTTAACTCGAAGTACTTATTTAAATCTGCATACTCATTAATACTTCACAGTTTCATCAGTTTATATTTTAAAGCTCAGTGAACATTCTCTCAGGAAATCTTCCTGACTCATAGCTAACATGTCTTGATTGATCAATGCAATGAGTTTAACTTCACCATCGTAGTCCTCATGGGAGGATATCGATGATCTGAAGAGATGATCAGGCAACACGTTATCTTTTCCCTTTTTGATTTCGATGTTGTAATCGAAGTTCATGAGCCTTGATGACCATCTTACAATTCTAAGTCCTGCTCTTTAGTTGTAAGTAATGCCATTAGCGAGGATTGATTCGTTCCTAGAGTGAACATCCGACCCCAGACCCATCTTCAAAACCTTTTCAATGATTGAATACCTCCTCCTAACATCAAAAAGTGTTCTTGAAGGACACTTGAAGCCACAATGTGCTCCTTCGCTTTTTACGACACCTGTGAGACTACTCATCCTATGCCGTTATGAGATGCATCAATTGTAATAACCGTACGCAATTTCAGTCAGAATAGAACAAGAGCTTGTCCCTTTTTAAGAGAGTCCTTTACTCTTTGCAATGCTTTTGTTTGTGCTTCTCACTACTTAAACGGAACGCCTTTCTTCGGCAACTTTTGAAGAGGTTCCAAAATTTTACTTTTGTTAGGGATGTAATTTCTTGTAAACCAGTGTTTATCATTCCGATTAATGATCTAAGACCAGTCTTATCTTTAAGAGGAGGAGAATCTAAGAGAAATTTCACCAAATCCAGATAAACTTCATTATTAAATTGATAATTATAAAATATATTGTGACGAATAAATAATTTATATTTTATTATTTATTTAATTATTCAATTTGTTGAAGATATTAATCTGCGATTTTGAATGTTTCTTTTTGACCAGTACTTTTGCTTTATTTTTGCTTTTCCTAAAATGTTTCTTTCTTCTTCTTCCTTATTATTTGTTCTATATGCGAAGCTTTGTTTTTAGAGACTTGAATAAACAAATTCAAGTTTATATATTTTTGTGTTCTTTTAAAGTTAAAACACAACAGGTTATGGACCCAACCACGCATTAACTGCGAAATATAACAAAAACGAAGCAACGGTAAGCCTAAAAAGAATTATATTTTGTTTATCAAGTTAAAATTTATATTAGTAATGGCTGGAATGAATAATATTAAAATGGGTATGAATATTGCCAAATTGGAAGGATTAATAAACTGGCCAGAATATAAGAAAAATATGAAATTGCTTTTAACAATAAACAAAGTAATAGGCGTTGTTGATGGAATATACAGAGAGCCAATAAAACAAGAAACAAATGAAGAAAAACAGGCATATGTAAAATGGGAAAGTGAAGATGCAATATCCCAATTGTTATTTACAACAAGTGTGATGCCTGATGTGAGTCAACTAATCATTCCCTGCTCAAGTGCTAAAGATATGTGGGACAAATTGTTAAATGTCTATGAGCAAAGCTCTGGTCAAAGATTATACATGCTCTATAACACTGGTCAACAAGATTTTTGCACAAGAGAACCTGATTATGTTTCTAGTGTAACTTTTCATGCTGAACTCAAAAATCTAATCAGAAATTTCCTATCACGTATGGTTTTTGCGTGACGGTATTTTTTTAGTATTGGGATAAATACACTAAAAATTTCAAACAATGTCACGTAACTGGTTTATCAAAAAATATTTTTCTTTGTCCACAAAGAAATAGCATCTTATCTACATGTCCTGAATCCAAATATACCATAGGTTTTTTTCTATTACACAATATTTCTGAGATACACCTACTTTAATTTGGAAATATTGTTAATATATAGGCATATATGAACGAAACATATTTATTATTGAAAAGCAGTGACAGTGGATTTTCTTCTATACTTTCCTTGTGGTAGATCCCTCTTGAGTGCCCAGCAGTCGTCGGCAAGCATAGCGGGACTCCATTTACCTTGGTACCGCTTCTCCATGCTTGATATAGATTGATGAAACCTCTCACCATGCTCATCGCTAACTGCGCCAAGATTGTCTGGAAAGATCCTAGATGTGAATGCAGGAAATGGATCTTGAGGGACATGTTACATCCCAGTGCCTTGTAGGAAAGCAACAGATCATTAACTATGTCTCGGTAATTTTCAACCTTGACACTTCCTAAGAAGTTTTTGCAAACGTTTCTAAAGGAATTCCATGCTGCTGCTTCAACTTCATTCAAACTATTTTGAAAATTTCCATCCTGCTGCAATTCTCGAATCTGAGGTCCAACGAAAATGCCTTCTTTAATCTTCGCTTCACTTATACTAGAAAATTTGTGTTTTAGGTAGGCAAATCC